GTGCACATGCCCTATAGCAAAAACCTCTCCAAAAAAGAAAAAGAAAAAGAAAAAAAAAGAAATACTAGTAACATTGAAAAAAAAAAAAAGAAGAGCTTGTCAGGAAGGCATAATCTGTTGCACATGTGTTAACCAGAGTGCTTCATTGAAGTACATTTTGGAAATCTGCTTATAGTTCCTCTGTGAATATTAGCATTGGTGATATATGTTAGCAATAAAGAAAGGAGCAAATATACTTTGCTGTAGAAACTGAGTCAACTTCAGAATGGCCTGAGACAGGGTTTTCAGGGTGAACACAGGATACTGTTGCTTCCTTTTGGTAAATCCAGGTTATTTAGAGCAATGTTGTCTGTTGCTACAGATAATATAATGAGGGAAAAGAAGAAAAATTATTCTGAACTTCCCATCTTATTTCATGAGATTTAGTTTTAATCTTTTTAAATTGTCGGTTTTGAAATGCTAGATTGTATAATGTGGCAAAGAAAGGAGATATTTTATTTCAACTGTCTTTTCCTAGTCCAATATTAGAGGCCATCCCTAATCTTCCTCCTTATTCAGAAACTGAGTAGCTGTCATGTCAGCTTTTACAGTATGACAGTATTGTGTAGCCGTGGCAGGGAACATGATTTAATGGCTCGCAGGTACTTTTTTGATTTTGGCTTCACCCATAGACATATTTGAAAATTGTTTTATAAACATTGGATCTATATGTGTATCTTTGTTTTAAGGGGTTGCATATTTTAGGTGGTTTTGAACCCTTAAAAGAACAGTATGTAATTAAGGTTTTCTTTGCCTCCTGAATACATTTTTATTTGTTATTACTAAGACTAGGAAAATAAATCCTTTCTCCTTGTGACTTTACACAGAGACCTATAAAAATAATTATAGGGCCAGCTGGTGGCATGGTGGTTAAGGCAGCTGAATCACACATGGTTGACTGCATGGTTCAAGCCCTGGACCTGGTGGCTTGAAAAACAAGCCAGATAGGGAACCAGCAGTTAGCATAATGGCTATGTCACTGGACTCCCACGTAGTCAACTGAGGTTTGCGTCCCGGACCCGGTGGCTTAAAACTCACGCCAGGCGCGTGTGTGTGCATGCCCAAGATCCCGAGAGGAGAATGGAGGAGAAGGGATTGCGGCGTGACCATCCCCCCCAGGGGGTGATTTCTCGCTTTCTGTCTCTCTGTCTTCTCTCTGTCTGACGAGTGCACGCGCCCTATAGCGACAATCTCTCAAAAAAAAAAACACAAACAAGCCAGATACATGCACATGCATGCCCAAAATCCCAACAGGAAGGAAAAATGGAGGAGAAGGGATTACAGCCTGACTGTCTCCCACAGGGGCTTCGGATGCTTTCTCATCCTCTCTCCTAGTCTCCAGTCTCTGTCTCTAGAGAAAGCATGGGAATTAAAAACAAACAAACAAAAAACTATATATATAAATAAGAATAAATTTTTTATTTTCATTGAAAAGTCAGGAAAATTGTACGAAAAATTAATAGCTTTTTATGGCTATTTTGCACCATAAGATTAAGTATTTGTTACTTTTTCTAGATTTTTAGAAAGATTTCTTTTTTTTTAAAGGGAGATTTTTGTCGTAGGGCACAGGGTTGGGGAAGGATGGCCATGCCTCAGTCCCCTCTTCTCCATTCTCCTCTTTGGATTTTGCATGCACGCACACACGCCCAGTGTGTTTTTTCAGGCCACCAGGGCCAGGACTTGATTTGCAGTTGGCTATATAGAAGTCCAGCACCATAACCATTACGCCACCAATAGTTTGGTGCTTTGGTGTATCTGTCCTTGAATGTTTAAAAATAAAAAGAGATTAATTTCTTATGTTTACATTTATGAATGAAAAGTATCATCTGAATTCAGTATTTGTAGCTCTCACTAATGTATCTGAAGTACTTGTTGCTATGAAGACAAAGAAAAATAATCTCTGAAGTTACCTTTGCCCGACAGCAATGTATTCAGGTTACTGCCTCAGCAAGATGTGAGGAGGGAGGAATACACAGAAGCTAACAAAGTGATTAACCGCTTTGCCTTTTTGATTTGTGGACAGCCTATCAGATGTCAATTCTAAGGGTAATTTATGTCAGAGTTGTTGACTTTCTTGTAGTAGTAATATTTAAGGCCTAGACATTCCTTACTCCTAATTTGATCCATCGTAGGAGCAAAGTAGCAGACTATCTTTAGAGCAGCGTTTATCAGTCTATCACTCTGGTATGAAATGTGTTTTACATTATGATCCAGATTTGTGCTCATGTGTATGCAAATGTGTGAAACAACAGTTTATGAATTCATGAACCTTTACTTTGTATGGTGCATTAGTTTTTGAAATATTTCATTTTTTTACATAATTAAAAAAATTCTACTTGTAGTCCATAAATTTCAAAACCCACTGGAGGGCCATACCTATACTTTTCAATAAGCTGTGTAGAATATTCTGTAACTTTAGCTTAAAGTTTCTCTTTACTCTGTATGACTATACATATGTTCTCTGTTACACAGTTTTCTATGGAAATGGTTGATGAACACTCATTTAAACTAAGGTGCAATTAAAGTCTTAGGAAGAAGAGAAGCTTTTAGGATACAGGTAGATGTGTGAACATCTAGAAAGAAAGATATTGGAAAGATATTTTCCAGATTGCTATAGTTCTAGAGATGGAGGCTTAGAATTACAAGTTTCAGAAAATTACTTATTTCTCTATACTGTCCAATTTGGCTTTTTCTTTGAGTCAGTTTCAGACTCAGCAGTATGTTAAAACATAGTTCTATGAGGTCATCGAGAAATTAGTGGTGTATTTTTTTATGTTTTTCTATGCAAAAATGCATCATGACTGTCCTGATGACCCAAGATTTTGGTGGCAGAGTACATTAAAATCAAGGATTTGGATTTGAATTAAAAAAAAAAAATTTTTTTTTTTCATCCTAAAGCAGTTCCCAGTTCTTAGGCCATAGAATGTGAATAGGAAGGGGTCCCTGACTGGTTTGCTTTCTGTCTCATTATTCTTTTCATGGAAGATAATTCAAGAAAATATGTTACCTAAGACTTTGAAGTTTGGGTGGCATATAACATCTGAGCCTCAGTTAATTTGCAGGATGAATGAGTTTGGCTGGATTATCTAAGTTTATTTTCAACTTCATAGTTTTCTGATTTTAAATGAAACTAAAGCACAGATTCAATTTCTAAGTGTCTTCTAAGCATAAGACACTCTCCAGAATATTACAGGCAGGGTTTTGACCAATGAAGACCTACCCCAGAAAGCTGCTATGAGTCTGCCCTGGAATATTTAAAGTTTGCATGCTGTGTCCCCTTGATCTTGAGATTCTCTCAAAGATTGGAATGCTGGGAACCAGCAGTTAGCGTAATGGCTATGTCGCTGGACTCCCACGTAGTCGACCGCGGTTCGCGTCCCGGACCTGGTGGCTTAAAACTCACGCCGAGCGCGTGTGCGTGCGTGCCCAAGATCCCGAGAGGAGAATGGAGGAAAAGGGATTGCGGTGTGACCATCCCCCCTGGGGGGTGATTTCTCGCTTTCTGTCTCTATGTCTCTCTCTGTCTGTCTGGCGAGCGCACGCGCCCTATAGTGAAAAAAACCTCTCCAAAAAAAAGATTGGAATGCTTACAGTAATATGGGTTGTCCAGTGAGTGAGTGAATGAATGTTCAGGCAGTTTTAGTAATTGAAAAGAATTACTTCCTTTGTTGCTGTAATCTTTCCTTTCTTTGAAATATTTCAGAATCCTTTTGCTGAGCAAGATATAAACTATATTGGAGGTTGAAAAGTGAAAGAATAGAGAATGTGAAATGGATTATGTCAAACTTCTTAAAATTGTATGTGGTTACAGATTGATAATTATGTATTTGAAAAGTATATTAACGAATTAGTATCTGTGCTAACAGGTTAATTGCTTAGAAACATTCTGAAGACAGTAGAGACTAAAAAACAAATAAGGGTAGATACATATCCTTAGAAATGATATATTTGTAGTAGCTCACAAGAAGCAAACTAATAGAAGAACTACATTACAGGTTCTTTAAGTAGCTGTAGAAGAAACGATAGGAGTGGTTTGAGATATGTACAAGTGAATGACTTTTATTTTCTTACTTTGAAAGTAATGCTTTAGAATTGAGATTCCAGTAACTGTAGGTCTTTTCTTCCTGTCTTCTACTACTTTTTTGTGTGTGTGAGAAAGTTTAAAGAGAGTTTGGACTATGGAACTGAAGCTCCTGTGTACTAAAAACAGTATTATATTCAAGGGACCAGCAGATGGCTTAATGGTGACAAAGGTGGACTCTATAGTTGCGATTTGAGTCCCGAACCCGGCAGGTTAAAACTCACTCTGGGCACTTATGCATGCATGCCCAAAACCCTGAGAGGAGAATGGAAGAGAAGGGATTGCCGCATTGACAACCCCCGCCCCCTCCGTTCCCTTCCACGCCTCCTGGTGGTAATTTCTCGCTTTCTGTGTCTCTGGCAAGCACACATGCCCTATAGCAAAAATCTCTCTTAAAAAAAAAATGCTATATTTAAAAAGTAATTAACAGTGCAGACTCAGGAGAAAAATATAACAAATAGCATCAGTAAGCTATTTTGGTGTGTCACATGTCAACTGCATGGGCCATGGGAGTGACAGTGTGTTCACGAAGAATCCTAGGCCTTCCCCAGCCTTTGCTAACACAGTATATTAACAGCAGTCAGGACGGTGTTATGAAATACATTTCTTTAAAAAAGTTTATCTCTCACAGAGGATGTAATGGCCATGAACAATTATATTAAGAGTTAAATTTGTTTCTTTACTACTTTCAGGTCCCCGTATATAAGAATTGTCATTGCAAATTCAGTGATCATGCTTACTTATTTTTTAATATAATAATAAATGCTCTAGACATCCTTACACTAAATTTACCAAAAATATGCATAATAAATTTGGGCTTTTAATAGATTGTTCAATTTCTTTTTTGAAAAATTGATAAATCTGATTATTTACTTTAAAGCTACAGAAGAAAGAAGATCAGCAATTGGAACCTAAAAAAAGTACCAGCCCTAAAAAAGCTGCAGAACCTACTGTTGATCTTTTAGGACTTGGTAAGTAATAAAAAATAAGTCAGTATTAAAGATACATAACAATTGAAACCTTTACTTGATGAATATAATGACGTTATCTGCAGTATGCCAACAGATACCTGTTAGCTAACTTTTAAAATGATATGATTAGTTTGCTGAGTTTCCCCAAAAAGGAAATCTTTAATAAGGGGGTCAGTGTCTGTCAGTACGGTCTTCACTGAAATACAAGTAATGAGTTCCTTAGGGAAAAGGAGATATCAAAGTAACCTTCAAAGGCTCGGTAGATGTGACATTTTAACATTTAAATAAAGAGGGTTTTTTTTTTTTTTCCTCCCCCCTTCCTCTCTTTCTGTCTTTCTCAATTTTTTTTAAATTTTTTTATTTATTTATTTATTTTTAGTTTTTTGGGGGATTTTTCCCCTTAGAAAATTATTCTACAGTAGCCTTATTGTAAAATATGGCACTTTAAAATAAATTTTAATTTTGGAAAAATGAAACAACTTGTTTCATACCTAAATCTAATGGCTAGATTCAAGTCATGCATGAAAATAAGAACTGCTCATTTTAATGTCCTGTTCTACAGGCTGACAGATATATATGTTATCTATATGACAAGTGAACAGGATTTCACTCAAGTTTATACTCTGCTTGTCTACAGATATTCTCAACTCTTCTTAATATATTTTCCCCTGTACTAAAAATAATTGGCTCAGCAAATGGTTATTTTTAGTGATAGCTGAACTTTGGTGTAGTCATTAACTAAAAAAGTACTTTTTGGTTTGGAGGAAGGCTTGACAACTGAAGGAAAAGAAGGAAAGGCAGTTGGTTGGAATTAGAGTTAAACTTCGTACAGTGGTTTGCAAAAACTCGATCTTGGTTCTTATTGAGTAAATTGTTTTCTGTTTTAAGAATTACAGTTGAATGTTTTATTCATTTCTCAGGAAGCTGGTATGTCATACAAATATACTCCCTGGAGGTAAAAATTCTTTCATGATAGTGAAAAGTAGTATATTAGAAATGTAAAAAATAACTGTAATTTTGAAAATAGGGATTCAGCCCAGGGGCTGCAAATATAATTGTGTTGAATTCTAGTCCTCATAATTTCTGTATTTGATTTCTTTGCTATAAAAAAGAGGAAAGAAAAAAAGATTGCCGGAATAAGAAAATTTCTAAAACTATACACATTTTTGCCTTTACTGGCATTATTTCTTTTTTGATCTAAGTATCTGGTTTACTAATGGTGAAATAGGGAAACCAGTACCCTGTAGTGTCTATTCTTTTTTTTTTTTAAAGAATTACTTATTTAATTTTATTTATTATTATTTTATTTATTTATTTATTTTTAATTTGCTCACCAGAGAGAGAGAGAGAGAAAGTGAAAAACAAGCCTCCAGTCATGGGACTCAAACCACAGTTGGCCACGTGGCAATCCAGCCGTTCTAACCACCATGCTATCTGCTTGCCCCTGTGGTGTCCATTTTTAAAGCAAAGTCAGGCTAGAATTCTGTAACAGAATGTGCTACATTGTACTGTGGTAACAAAATTCCCCCAAATATTGGTGGCTTACAGAACAAAATTTCTTTCTCACTAATGCTGTGCCCATCTGAAATTAGCTAATGTAGCTAATGCTGTGTTCCACATCATCTCCACTTTAGTTCTCAAACTGGCAGAGCATCCTCTATATATTAGAACAAGAGTTGGAAAACGTTTTCTATGAAGGGACAGAAAGTAAGTGTTTTAGACTTTGTGGACCATAATATTTCTGTCATAACTACTCATCATAGGTAATACATTAATGAATGGACATTTCTGTGTTCCATTAAAACTTTATCTACAAAAAGGGCAGGGGTTCAGATTTGGCCTGCAGGCCACATTGTGCTGGTCCGTGATCCAGAACATAGCTGGTCAGTATGGCAAAAGGAAAAGACCACATGGCAAATCACATGTCAGCTCTTAAAGGTTGTTTTGATGTTAACATGTATCATTTTCGCTAACATTTCATTGGCCATGTCATTACGTGGCTGTGCTTTCATTCAGTAGGAGGATTTAGAGTTCACTGTGGGGAAAGCTCAGCAAATACATGAACATTAATGCAGAGCAAGGGAGGAAAAAGGCTTTGGAGAAGAGAGAATGAGCAGTTGTATCAAATAAAATAAAGACTGTAATTAGTCATTGGATTCACAACATAGATGATAGGGGTAACTTTTGAATAATAGAAGTGTAAACATGATCGGTGTGGTTTTAAAAGAGAATGGAAGGAGTAGAATGGAGTGATTATATGCTGGTCTTTAGAGCAGTTCTGCCATAAAGAGGGGGAGAGAAGCTAAGTGGTAGTTGTAAGAGGATGCAGGCAGGAAAGAACTTTTTTTTTTTTTAAAGAATGACTTTACAAGGTGTTTACTGTTGAGAATGAATTTGTAGAGCAGGGAAATCTGATAATTCAGGACAAGGAAAGATTGCTATAGCAATGTCATTGAACAGTCAAGAGGGGATGAGATCTGGTAGACAAACATGATGACCGGCTCTTGAAATACTCAGCTACTACTGCAGTAATGCTGCCTAGTAAGTAACCTCCAGATTCCAACAGTTTACAATAGAGGATTATTGCTCTCACTGTCATGTCTGTGGGTCAGCTGTGGCAAGTCTGCTACAATGTCATGTGATATGAGTTCTCCCTTCCAGGTTATTTATTGCAGGTTACTGTTTATCGACCATTTCACCATCACATATTTTATCTCCAACTTCAAGTTCCTCTGGTGTTTGCTGTCTCCTACCATCCTATTTCAGTTATTACCAAAGATTTAGTGTTTGGTTATCAGTTTCTATAACTATCCATTATTGCTGCCCATGTTACTTAGCAAACAGCTCTAATATCTCAGTAATCTCAACTAACACTAATTTCTCTCATTCCTGGGCTTGTGGATCAGCTGAGACAGCTCTCTTACGATGGAAAAGTTCTGGGAAACAGTGGTGAACCAAGGTTCATTTACGGCAAGAAGGTGAAGGGAAGATTTAGAGAAGAGGTTTAGGACATTGGGGCAGGGGAGTGCGGGGGAGGGGGGTGGGGAGGATGTTATTGATGACTGACAGTGGGTTTTAAAACATATAGTGGAAGAGTGCCAAAGATGGGAGGGTGGCAGACGGGGTTAGAAAAGGACTTATCTGGATAATGGAGTTTTAGCAGAGGGGAAAGGGAAGGTGACTTACCTAGAATACATACAACTCTTCACATGTGCTGGTTATTAGTATCTTGCATTCTTTAATTTAGAACAATTAAATGTAAATAAGAAGGGGCTGGCAGGTGGTGTGGTGGTTAAGGTGCTGAATTCCCCCATGGGTGACCATGGTTTGAGTCCTGGACCTGGTGGCTTGCTTTCTCACTTTCTTCCCTTTCTCTCTATCTCTCTCTAGTCACATTTTTAAAAAAATTCTAATAACAAAATTATATAAATAAAATAATTCTTAAAAAATTCTTTAAAAAAGTAAATAAGAAATTATTAAATAAATAACATGGCCAAGGTTAAAAAAAGTTTTTTTATATTTAAAAATTATGTTAACCATGAGATTTTATGTGTTCATGAAAGTTTAGGAGAATACAGACAGAATCAAAGGCCCCTTTAGGCCCAAAACAGTGGTCCTAAATCTGGACTGATATTGGTGTCTGCCTTGAGCATCAGACTGCTTTTCTGCTCAGGAGCAAGCTATTCTCCCTTAAGGGCACCTGGTTTTCTCCTGTAGATTGGAACACAGTAGGGATTTGGGAGCAGGTGATACATGGTATAATGCAGACGTTTTTACAGGATCTCTCCATATGAATGAGTCCAGAATAGGCATTATCTTAGGACATTTACAGAAAATGCAGACATAGCTCAGTTACAAAGCCACAGAAGACTGTGAATCCCAACGATAGGGGGCTTCTAGATCATTCTTAATAGTCTCATAATAGGGTAATAGCTTTTTTTTAAAAGAAATTTGACCTTTTTTTTTTAAATTGAACTGTGATGAGCTGTTGCTCTTTATTTCAACTTGCTAACTCAAGTTAAACCTATTTTCTTCAGATCACTTTTCCTAATCTACTGTCCATTCAAAGATCAAACATAATGTGATATATATGTATCTGCAGATGTGTGTGTGTTTGCAGAAGTCAGCAATTTTTTTCTGAAAAGGGCCAAATAAAAACTATTTTTGGTTTTGCAAATAGTTCCCTGTTAGAACAACTCACCTCCTATTGTAGGCTGCAAACAGCCATAAACACATGTGTAAACAAATGAGCATGACTGTGTTCCAGCCAACTTCAAAAACAGGTGTGGGCTGTAGTGTCTGACTCCTATGTTAATTTTTTTTTAAATTTATTTCAAGAGAGATTTTTGCTGTGGGGTGCATGCAACTCGCTGGAGAGACAGAGGGACAGAGAGACAAAAAAGTGATAAATCATCCACTGGTGGGATGGCCACACCACAATCCCTTCTCCTTCATTTTCTTTTTGGGATCTTGGGCATACACGCACACGTCTGGCGTGTTTTAAGTTGCCAGGTCTGGGACTCGAACTGCACTCAACTACGTGGGAGTCCAGCGATGTTACCATTATGCCATCTGCTGGTCCCCTGACTCCTGCTTTACATTTCTGGTCATATGTGCAATAGGTGCTTCATGTTTAGATGCTAATTTTTATTTGAATCCTGTAGAAATACTCTTTATTTTAGTGACCTACTCTCTAATCCCAGAAGTGGAGTGAGATATTGATTATTACCTACTGTGTAGTCCTGGAACTTACCTAGGGTGTTAGGACCTCTCTTTACTTAAGCACCAGACTGAACAGTCCCTGAATCCACCAAACTTGAGTCAGAGACATCTTGCCTTGAATACGTACCTCTTATGTTTAAAAACTGAAATCTGCTTTTAGGACATATAGAGGTGGTGCTTTTCATTTCCCTTTAAGTACTCTAGGACTGTGAATCACTCTGTTAAGCGAGTGTCTGCTTTTTGTTGATTTTACCTAGTGTTTTTAGTAATAAAAACCG